TCCAACCCATTCTCATTCGCTCAACGTCATTTCGTTTCTCCGACGTCGTTTCCTTTGTAGTACCCATCACTAAAAACATCACAAATTATTAATATTTAAAAAAGAAAACAAATAGAAAAACTTGTTCAAACAATTTCAATTAGAACACAACAAATATTCCATAATTATTGCCTTTAGATTTATCATAATTTCCCTAAAAATATTTTTTTAAGCCAACGAACAACAAGTGGTTAAGAAGTAAATTTAATTAAATTTCTTTTTGTGCAAAATAAAAGCCTTTTTGCTTTCAACTAAATCGAGGCCTGAAATCAAAAACAAAAATATTCCATCATTTTGCCCTCTACTGTATCTTATTCAAGTTATTTGCAATAGTTTTGAAATCAGCAAATCTTAAGAAATGTAATGGTCGCGCGCTTGACAACGTGATGGCAGCAGAAAAAGTCATTTAAATCTATTTGAATTCGAAATTGTGTCCTGAGGGTTGACCGAGATTTAACAAAGATCGAAATGATGTAAGGGAATCGTTTTTGATTTTAAAATTTACGAAGAAGTTTTTGGGAGAAAGAAATAACGTGTGGTTCAGGCGATTCAGTGCACCGGGAAGGGTGTGCTTCTGTTTTTCAAAGCCAAAGTACATTTTAAGAAACAGATCAAATTCAAATCAGTTTCCAATTCATAAAACCGAAGCTGATCAAAATTGTGAATCCGTATGAGTGTGGGTGGGAAGGGGTAAAAGCGGTCGATTCGAGATGTGCTTCCAGGTGAATTTGTGGCCCTGAGTGGGGAAGTGAAGCAAAAGAAAGAAAAAGAAAGAAAAAGAACCCATCCCCATCAAAAAAGCGGCTTTTCGACGAGATTCGCCTCGAGAAGAGGTCGAGTGAAGGAAAAGAGAAAAAAGAAAGAAAAGAAGAGAATACTTCCGAATTTGTTTCCCTCTGATTTCCAATTTTATTGCACCGCTTGCAAAAACACGGCTTTCTTTTGTTGTTCTTAGAACTGTCGTACTTAGATAAGGAAGCAATTCTTATTGTTCGGCAATTCTTTGAATTTCCACTCAAATGGAGCCCCTCTTTACCTTGCTAACTAGTAAGAAAAGGGGAGTGGGACAAATGCGACCCTTTTTTGCGCACCCGGACATTTGCGCACCTTTTTTTCCGCACCTTGCCCATTAGCGCACCTTTTTTCGCGTTATAAAAAAAGCTCTAAAAGCTAATATTAACCAATTTCTATTCCAAATGTTGTTTTTCTAGGTAATTTGAGGGTGTCGAATTCAAATTTTGACATATCAGAGCGTGTGGAACCAATTTGAAAGACAAAACGGCTACCGTAAATACTGTAATAGTACCCCACCGCCCTCGTACAGTCGCGTAGTCGCAAAAGTTTTTTAGTATTTCATTTTTTTCAAAGCGCCCGTACTTTCAAAAAATTCGTCTTTGGTATCAAAAAATAGCTGAAATTCAGGGCTATTTTTTTGATACCTAACTGCACTTTGTAGCATAAACCAGTGTCGAGAAAGCCTCGTTCAAAGCTAGACTACGCAACGCTCCGCACCGTCATTATAGGGGTGGGGTACTATTACAGTATTTACGGTAGGTCAAATTACAGAAAATTGTTGATTTTTCTCTTTGTATAACTCCGTCCGTTCGCTTCCACAAGCTCTGATATGCCAAAATTTCGATTCTACGCCCTAAAATTACCTAGAAAAACAACTTTTGGAATAGAAATTGGTTAATATTAGCTTTTAGAGCTTTTTTAAAACGCGAAAAAAGGTGCGCTAATAAGCTAAGTGCGGAAAAAAAAGGTGCGCAAATGTCCGGGTGCGCAAATGTCCGGGCGCGCAAAAAAAAGGTCGCATTTGTTCCACTCCCAAGAAAAGTTATTTTCAGAGTTTTTAGTGTTACTAATTACTAAAATTTTACGTAAGAAGTGTTACTTTCAGAGATGGAACTGATTTAAAGCTTGCTTTCCTTATGAGCATTAAAAGATCCAATAAAATAGTTTTATTCCATAAAATTCTGCAAACATTCTTTGTCTCAACTTTACCAAACAGTTTTTTACTTACTTCTTTACCAAAAACGACGACAACGCTAAGAGAAGGCCATCGGTCGTAAGAATGTGCACATTTTCTGCCCACAGTCATTGCCGAATTGGTGGCTGATCGAGACACGATGAATAGACATTTTAATCTTTCTCATCAAATTTGCAATGTAAGAAATTATTTTATCTTTGATTTAGTTTCATAAAATGTTGCTCTCGTTTGATCGCGGCGAAGATGATGATGGTGATGTGCCGCAAGAAGAACAGCAAGTTGAACAGGATGCAAGTGTTTAAACAGAACATAAAAACAATCTAGACTTTTCTATTTTTGTAAATTCTCCAGCGTTATAAATTGCGTGCAAATTCATTTTTAGGGTGATGCTGGTGACGATGACGAATCAGACGTGGATGAGAGTGACGCTCCATCCGAGACTACATCTCATCCATAAGTATGATCTCCAATTTCTTTTCCGGGCTGGATTCCCTCTTTTTGTACATTTATGTGAAGTTCTGTATGGTTTTTTTGTATGAACAATATGTAAAATTGTTCTTGATCTCATTTCTTATATCAAATAGGTGCTGCTTTTGTGGAATTTTTTTAAGTGTAGGTGTTCATGTTTGTAAATTATTGTTTTCATTGTTTTCTGGTCATTGTTTTCTTTTTTGCCTTCTCATCAATAGATGTGCACACTTTAAAAGGTTTTAAATCAGAGAACTATCGCATTTTTTGTGATTCACCACAGGAATTGCTCTGTTGCCTAAATTTGAGCGCAGTTTTTAGCCTCTAAACAGGCTTCTTGTTTTGTTTTTTTTTTGATGAAGATCTTCGAACGTGTATTTCCAAGGATCCCACTGTGTTTCTATGTGAAATTGTTGCTTTGAAATAATCTGCAATTTCATTTGTAATCAAGATATGTTTTTTGTTCTCATTTAAATAGAAATAAACTTTATTGGTTTGTTTGTGAGAAAGGGCATGAAAGTAGAGCAAAAAACAAATGTAAATTATCATTTACAAAGCACATATACATATTCGGGATGAACACTGGAAATGAGACCGTAGGAAAATTGGGGAATCACCGAATAGAACATTGATGGAGAGAAGTTAACTGAGCACAGCGTAAGTATTGTGGCTTTGTTACCAAAGAAGTCTGAAGTTTAACCATTTCAAAGGCGTCACAAAAAACGATATCCGTTAAATGCTAATTTTTTTATCTATTGTATGAGCAAAAATATTTTAGACTGCTCTGATAACAAAGAACTTTAGAAGAAAGATTTCAAGGAAACTGTAGAAGCGATTTACAGTCATCGACACCGCATCCAGGAACTTTTAAATTGTAAGAGTGCTTTTTTAATATTTTAATTCTGTTTGTAGGTTTTGATCATTTGAATCATTTGAAGTGATACTCGTCGCGTGCACGCAAATCTCTGAGATAGCTTCCACGCTGTTGCGCTTGGTCAAACCGTCCTGGAAATTGAATTTTCCATCATACTTTAGCATAAATTCACGATTTTGAACTTGTTCAACTCTGAATAGGTTTTAGAATTTTGTTTGAAAATTTTTCTTAAGCCAACCTCTGTCCAGTCACATGGCTCTCCTTTGGTGAAAATGACAAAGATGAAATTGGTGACGACCTGGGGAAAAGAATACGGATAATTTTGAAATCAAGTTTTCCAAAAAATTGCTAACTTTTGAAGCATATCGTAATCTTGTCTCTAATTTTATCCAATCTAGCGTCTTTTTGTATCTTTCGGTACCTTTGTGAACCTTCCAGAATCAGACCAAAAGTGAATAGATTGGATAAAAACTAGAGACAGATTACAGTTTCGACTCCGAGGTTGAAGGCCCATTCATATAAACGAGTAAAAAGTAACCTTGTCTACCGCTATTCGTAGTACGATGGGCGGGTCGAGCTCCTTCGGAGCTCACTCCACTCGGTCGGCCGCTACCTCCAAGGCCATCAAATCGGGTGTCTCCCTGGCGCCAATCATGAAGGCGGCTATTTTTTGATACCTAAGCGCGCATTGTAGCATAAACCAGTGTCGAGAAAAACTCGTTCAAAGCTAGACTACGCAACACTCCGCATCGTCATTATGGGGGTGGGGTACTATTACAGTATTTAGTTTTTTTAGAAGGGTGGTTTGGCTATAATTAATTTTAAGTGTTGTAGTTTGTGATTGATTTCCAGTGGATGTTTCGTACAAGTTTTATTTTAGCACATGCCAACGTCTTCTGTCAACTTCCTTGAAGAACTTCCCGATGACTTGATCTATGCGGTGATAGAGAAACTTCCTGCACGGGTCATCGAAAAGTTAGCAGCCTTCATCTTCTAAATTTAACCTTTGCTTTAGCATTGTTCGACAACTCTCAAAGAGTTGCTATAGAAGGGTCGAGCTGCGCAGAGCAAGACTTCCTCGTGTTGATATCGATGTACTTGGTGTTAGGGGGAGCAGAGTAAGATATTGTTGTGTTATTTACAAGAACAGAGGCTTTAGTTTCGGTTTGTAAATAGAGCGACAACCAGCGACTATATGGAAACGATCGATCCAACTAACCTAATTCAATATTTGGAGTATTTGAAAGAGCGTGCAACCTTCAACATCCTCGTTTTGGTTAGTTTGCTGTAATATTTTATGGTACTTAAAATCTCTCTTATAGGGGGATGTCAATTGGGAAATCTTTGCAAATTGCAAGTTCGCATGCGAAGAATTGGTTTGTTTTATCGATGGAACGACTCTTTCGCCGGAAAGATTCATGGATATTTTTTGCAGTATAAGACCAACACGCAAGCTATATATTAAGGTAAATTTTTATTGAACGAATTAAAATTAAGTTGATTAAGGCGAATGGGGACAACAAAATTTTTCCTCTTACGAGAGACTTTTTCACCCATAATCATGCGGTTGGATTGCAAGATGTTCGGTTGTATGGTTACGGGAATGCCATGGTTGATCCATTTAACGACATGGTTTGTTTTGATTTAACTGTCAATTAACAATTTTATTACAACGCTTACTCCTCATAATATTTATTGTTTAGATTTTGTTGGATTCAACTGCGTTGATTCTTGACGGGTATTTTCAAACAAGTTACGGGTGCACTTTTAATGAGATTCTAACGATGATCCGAGATTGGTACGCTTCAGAGCGTCAAATTGATAAAATTGACCTTCGAGCACTTGGCTGGGAAACAGAACGTCAAAATGTGAGCTCTTTTAATTTTCTTATTTTACTGAAAATTATTTGGATGCAGCTTTTAAAAAATCCGCAAGATCGACTTAACTAGTATAGTCTAGATAGCCTAGATAATCATTGAAAAGCAATTAAAATTCAGTTTTCCCGATAAAATTGTTCATATTTTAGTTCATGCACACCTTACATGAATTGCAAGCTGTTAAACGGCTCCTCTACAGGGATTCGATCTATCCTACCCCCCTTTTGCAAAGAGCAAATGGGGACGTCGTTTGTGTTACTGTTTATATGAATACAGAGCAAGAGCAAGACTATCTTCAGTATGTTTTAGCTGCCCGTGCCCCTAGTGCCCGGCCCGGAACCTGACTTATATAGGCCGTATTATGACGCATAATAAGCACAATATTTATTCCCTATTGAATTAAAAGCTGTATTTTGTTCTCAATGAGTTTGTAATGTATCTTAAAGCTTAAGTTTCCATGGTGCAAAGTTTGTCTATTGTGATTTGGTATTTCTCGGAAAGTACGCAGTAGTACTAGTGTCACGGTTTAAAACTCCTCACATTCTGAATAAATCCTTGATGATTTGATTGTTCTGGATGATTTCTGGATGCATGTGACAGAACCCTGCCACATGCATGAACCCGTCTGTCACGTAAAGGAAAACTCGATTGAGAATAGATTTTGTATTGTATTGTCGAGGATTAGATCCAGATTAGTTAGTCAAAAATTCACGACAAAAATTCATAATTCACAGACTAGGGAGCCAAAGATCTGTGTTATCGTCTTCTTCGATGGGGCCCCATTCAAATAACAATAAGTCTTAGATCATAAATTTAAAGCATGAAGACAAATTTTTAATTTTATTAACTTGCAATTTTAGAGCAGTATGGACGGCGGAGCAACCAAACGATGACGTGGTGATCAAGATTCAAAAAACCGACAAAGGAATGAGAGAAGCCGACTTCTTGAAAGTAGAGGTATCAAAATGTGGTCATTACGAGGGGTCAAATCAATGTTTTTAGTACGTCAATTCTCATCAAAACTAAAATGTACATTATTCGATTTTGAACAAGTGTTATGGAGTTTCACTTCGAAATTATCTCCCGATGATTCCCGTTATTCCAATAGAAGATATTCAACTACTTATTAAGCAAGTAACGATACATCACATTTTTCCACGAAATTTTTTTACATAGATCTCGACCGGAATTCATCACAGGAAAGGAAGCGAACATCATCCACCTCGATCTCAAACCGGAGAATGTGCTTTTGAAGTCAGCCGATCTCAAGTCTGGCGTACAAGTAAATAAGCCTAAATTCAGCAAAATCATGTAGTTCTTTAGATAGCAGACTTTGGAGAATCGATCAGGGTTAGCCCTCAAGATTCAACCCAGAAGCTTCTGGAAGACTTTTGCACAACGTTTCGGTAATTTACTGTCTCAGTTCTACATCCCTGTTTTAAGTTTTATGCCGCCAGAAGTGCTAGAAAGGGAAATCTCCCTGGCCTCTTTTGCGACCGATGTATGGTCGCTTGGAATAATCTTATTTGAAATTACATATCGCAAAAATGTAGGCAATTAAAATGAATCATCTAAACTACTTCAAAGTTGATATTTTTAGCTTTTGAAAAATTCCGATCGAGATTCTTTGTGGAAAGAGCTACAAGAAAAACCTCGCCTGAATGGTTCAATTGATGTGAAAAAGATTCACCCTACATTGAAGGTCAAATTAAAAACGTTTTGTTTATGCAATAAAGTTTCAGCTCTCCTCATCTCATCAAAAAATGTTGCAACGTTGTCTGACAAGCGAATACAACAACAGGATCAAGTTTGAGGAAATGGTCAGTGATTTGTGATGCTTTTTCAGTTAACAAAAACATTTTGTGAGTATGATTTAATGTGTGATATATATGTCATTCAAACAAATCCTGAAGTTATTATTAAAAATTTTTAGAAGCAGCTGCTCAATTCAACATGGGGCCGCATCGAAGAAGACGATAACACAGATTTTTTGCCCCCAAGTCCCAGTTTTTGAAATCTAGTCTGTGAATTATGAATTTTTAGTTGAAAGGGGTAGTTCGTGTTATGACTTGTAAAGAGAGAGTCTACTTGAAATTGGCTTATTCGTAATTGGAGAAAATGATAACAAAAGAAAAGGTTTGAACAAATGAGTAAGAAAAATGACGCGTCGAAATTACTTTCAATTTCGGGAGTGAAGTTAGAGGACAAAGTTTGGTAAAATACGATAATCATGCGCCATTCACTCGAACTAGATCTAGCCATAAAAAGCAAAAAAATGACTCCTTTGCATTCTTGTTTATTTCTTGTTTTTCGCAGACTACCCCTTCAATCTTTAACGTGTTTAACTATTTTTGAGGCAATGTTTTCTCATTTGTATCTATTTTATTTGGTTTCTTCTCGTTTCGTGTAACTCATATTTGCATTTGGATTGATGAATTTCTTTGAAAGAATGAATAAATTGCGGTTGCTCTTTTTGATCTATCGATAGGTATTGTAATGGAACGAATTATGCAGACATTTCTTGTATTCGTCCTTTTTGTTTTTTAAGGAATACTTTTATGGAATAAAAGAAATTTTGCAAATAATTTTTTGGTTAGATTAAATTGATGCTTCTCATAGAGTAAATGCTAGAAGCTTTTTAATAGACTAGAGTCGAGTTAGAGACTCGAAACAGAGTGATGGCTCTCTTTAAATAACTCTGACTAATCTGGATCTAATCCTCGACAATACAATACAAAATCTATTCTCAATCGAGTTTTCCTTTACGTGACAGACGGGTTTTTCAATCGAGATTTTTTAAAAGCTGCATCCAAATAATTTTCAGTAAAATAAGAAAATTAAAAGAGCTCACATTTTGACGTTCTGTTTCCCAGCCAAGTGCTCGAACGTCAATTTTATCAATTTGACGCTTTGAAGTGTACCAATCTCGGATCATCGTTAGAATCCCATTAAAAGTGCACCCGTAACTTTTTTTGTTGAATCCAACAAAATCTAAACAATAAATATTATGAGGACTTACTCCTTTGTAATAAAATTGTTAATTGACAGTTAAATCAAAACAAACCATGTCGTTAAATGGATCAACCATGGCATTCCCGTAACCATACAACCGAACATCTTGCAATCCAACCGCATGATTATGGGTGAAAAAGTCTCTCGTAAGAGGAAAAATTTTGTTGTCCCCATTCGCCTTAATCAACTTAATTTTAATTCGTTCAATAAAAATTTACCTTAATATATAGCTTGCGTGTTGGTCTTATACTGCAAAAAATATCCATGAATCTTTCCGGCGAAAGAGTCGTCCCATCGACAAAACAAAACAATTTTTCGCATGCGAACTTGCAATTTGCAAAGATTTCCCAATTGACATCCCCCTATAAGAGAGATTTTAAGTACCATAAAATATTACAGCAAACTAACCAAAACGAGGATGTTGAAGGTTGCACGCTCTTTCAAATACTCCAAATATTGAATTAGGTTAGTTGGATCGATCGTTTCAATATATTCCTTCCTTGCTTTCTTTCTATGTGCAAACCGAAACTAAAACTTATGTTCTTGTAACTAACACAACAATATCTTACTATGTTCCCCACAACATCAACATGAAGTACATCGATATCCACACGAGGAAGTCTTGCTCTGCGCAGCTCGACCCTTCTATAGCAACTCTTTGAGAGTTGTCGAACAGTGCTAAAGCAAAGGTTAAAGTTAGAAGATGAAGGCTGTTAACTTTTCGATGACCCGTGCAGGAAGTTTCTCTATCACCGCATAGATCAAGTCATCGGGAAGTTCTTCAAGGAAGTTGACAGAAGACGTTGGCATGTGCTAAAATAAAACTTGTACGAAACATCCACTGGAAATCAATCACAAACTACAACACTTAAAATTAATTATAGCCAAACCACCCTTCTAAAAAAACTTATATAGAAGGGATAAGCAAAAAGTTAGGTCACATAAAGAAACGAGATCGTGAAAACGTTTTGGAAGAAAGATGGGCAGAATGAGGCAAAAAGTCAGTAACTCAGGCCTATAAAGTTGAGATTAGAGTACTCAACCAAACAATGAAAATTCAATCATTCTGGGAAAGCGTTTATAAAGGAATTGGGATTTTTTTTCTTTATTTCTATGACTCATTGGTTCATATAGCTTTTACCTTTAATCGATCCTTTTAAATGACTTACCTACCGTAAATACTGTAATAGTACCCCACCCCCATAATGACGATGCGGAGTGCTGCGTAGTCTAGCTTTGAACGAGGTTTTTCTCGATACTGGTTTATGCTACAATGCGCGCTTAGGTATCAAAAAATAGCCCTGAATTTCAGCTATTTTTTGATACCAAAGACGCATTTTTTGAAAGTACGGGCGCTTCGAAAAAAATGAAATACTAAAAAACTTACGCGGCTAAAAAAGCGACTACGGGACTGTACGGTGGGGTACTATTACAGTATTTACGGTAGTTTTTTCAGGTACATAAATGTGGAATTCACCTGGACTGGGTCCAGGCTGGGCAAGGTGTAATCCACCATCACAAAGTCCAAGGACTTCCCCAGCCCAAAGCCGAAGATAGAGAGACGAGTACAAAGCCCAAGCAGCACTCAAGTGGCTTTCGACGAGGAAGGATGCCGAGTATGAATTTTTTGAATTGAATCTAAATAAAGGGCTTTCTACTCGATCAAAGTCGGTTGGTTTCACTAAATCGTGTAAAGTTATTTGAGGATGTTTGCCTTTTGACAAACGTCTTTTTTCTTAAGGAGTATTTTAAGCTATTTATCCTGTTTTTAGAATCTTTTTGCTTCTTATATAATAAATATTATACTTGAAAAAATTCCTATTTTTCGCATAGCAATTATTACTTGGAAGCAAAAGTGCTCAACAATTGCTACTTGAACTTCCATCCAAGCAGGGAGCTACCTTATAATACGGCTGATTGGATTCCTTGTTCGATGGGCTTGTGATAGAAGCTCTCGAATGATGAGCTCTGTTGGATGAAATCTGTTGCTCTTTTGTAAAACTTCTAAAATGTTTTTAGACGTAAACAAACCAAATACAAGTTTTGGTTCTACTTTGAAAGTTTTCCAATGATGCTCGAGCCAATGCACGAGGGCTAAAAGGCGTGAATACTAAAGGTACTAAAGGTTAGCACTTTAAAGAATTAATTATAACTGACATAACTGATATAACTGACATTAATCATAACTGACGCCAATCATAACTGACGCCAATGCTCTGCATCAATCCATCTAAGTCAAACTTTTCTAGTCTTAATGTTGTTTTTTCTCGAATCATTGAGAAACTAAAGATACACTGAAAAGGGGAAAATGAAGCTCCGCGCCAGAATCAATTTTACTCGATGCTTTTTAGTTCGAAAAAAAAACCAAAGAAGTTTTCTTTTCAATGATTTCTCAATAGGTTAAAGAGTGAATAAAATTTGGAAAGCTATGGAGAAAATAGGGTTAAATTATAGGGTTAAATTGGCTGGCTGAAAAGTTACAACGAAGAACTCTTGTCCGAGGAATTTTGCCCAACAGTGATCATTTTTATTTACAATGAAAAATGAATCCCCAAATTTCGTTTTTAAGTGCTCTTTTTCTTGGTGTTGTTGAAAGAGTTGAAGAATTTGATGTAAATTTGATTTCTTTTGATCTTTTTTCGCACTCAGCAGATCTTTTCGCACTATTTGCGCAGATCACAACCTGCTTCCACATTTCTCTATCCCTTGCTATTGTCATCCAGTGTTTCCTAGCTTGATTGTTCCTGGTTCGAAGTCTTCGACTTGCTGGTGGTGGTGGTGGTTGCATTCTAGCCATCCTTTCTCTGACCGTCTACCCTGTAAATTTGATTTCTCGATTTCAGTCTACAGTTTTTCTAGAAATTCAAGAGATTTAAGGGTCAAAATTTCAAACTCTAGTTTAGTTTTTCTAGTTTCCCAGTGTGAAAATGAATCGGCTTTGAAAGTTTCTTTGATTTTATCATTGAAACGAGTAAAGATCCGCAAGAAAATCGAGTCACAAAAACGTTCTTTTCTTCCCCGAAAAGCTCAAATTTCGTTACAGCTTTTCTTTTAGTTTTTTCCTTTCTTTCTCCTTTCTCCATTTCTTTAAGATCAAAAAAAAGACTAAAGAGTTTAAACAGAAAAACTAAAAGACTTTCAAAAGAGTTACTCTTGAAAGAAATGAAAAAAAAAAGCTCCCGGGAATGCGGATCCATTCCATCTCAATTCTCGGCTTCCGCTTTTTTTCTTCCACCGAAACACATTTTCTTCAAAGGTTTACTTGAATTTCCACTTTGGCTTCCTTTTCCACAATAATATACTTTCAGTGTTGATTTCAGCTTTGGTCAAAAGTCGGCTTTAAAATTAAACTTACAAATTTATCGTACATAAAATTGTAAAGAAACATCTATCTATCATGACGATGTGCCAGAAAGCGAGCGATTGTGGGGGCGCACAAAGAACACCTCGCCATTTACATAGAGATTTCTCTTTTGATTTGTAGATGGTCTAAAAAGACGAAATTTAGCTGTAAATTTGTACCCAGGGGTTTTCGGGGTCAGCGAATTGATTAAAGCTATTCATTGTATTGAATCTACCAATTGAAACTCGGATTTAGAACAATTGGAATCTCTCAACAAGCTCATCAGCATAGCTGCCTTTTTCATTCCAAAAAAGAAAAATACATTGCGTGCCGAATGGAGATCAAAAACGTGGTTCACCGAATTCCAAAAAAAAGCTAATCCAATTCAAAGAAAAAAGGTTTTCTTTTTCTTTCCAACTGAATAAGTCGACTTTTCTTGATCCAATTCTTTTCTTTTCCTTTTACTTTCATCTAAGAGACTCAAAATTTGATTAAGGTTTCCATTTTTTTTCGCGGAATGATGATGTGAAGAGTATTTGGGCTCATTTTTCATGTGATAAGAGTCTCAGTTTCGTTGTTCACTTCAAAAAAAAAACATTAGACCAACATTAGACCAACATTAGACCAATGAATATTTTAAGGCTTATTACTCCTTA